AAAACCACGCGTTTAATGGATGGAATCCTAACACAGGTTTCTAGAACATTCAGTGTTCCATTTACTGCTGGATCAATTAGCTCAGCCTGAAACAAGATCAAGAATAGTTGCATTTAGAACTGCTAATTGCTAAAGTCCTCACATAAAGGATTACTTGCTAATTGCCGGATCAATTAGCTCAGCCTGAAACAAGATCAAGAGATTAAGTCATTAAGAGATTACTTGAGGATTCGGAACATCCAGTTTAACAGGGGATGCAGTATGGAAAACACCGTCACATCCATGAATGGCAGCATCAAAGGAGCCTTCCTCCAAGAGATTAGCCTCGAATAAGTTAAGTCTATCCTTTGCTCCATCCAATGCAATCAAGTGATCTACCTTCTTCGGATCATCTGTACATTAGAACAAAACAATTGTAGACTTAGGACAAAACTACTTGTATATACTACCAGTGGCGAATCCCAGATTTGGAGAATGGGGGTACGAAATTAAGTTTTTTTTTAAAAAATTACAAAATACTAAGTAATATGTGAAGCATAATAATTTTGCCTATTGTATTAGTATTTGCGTACACTATACAACATGACTTGTAATTGAGTAACTAAATATGTTTGGGAGAAAAAAAAAGAGATTATCTAAGAGACCTGTTATTTGTAACAATAGGTCTCTTTGATCAAAGGTACTAATCTACTGCGGAATAAATTAACAAATATCACCAAAGAGACCTGTTATTTGTAACAATAGGTATCTTTGATCAAAAGTAGTAGTAGTATGGTGTGACAAATAGTCAAATTTCCTAAGAGACCACTTTATTAAACAGGGGGTTAAGTTGTACACAAAAAAACGCGGGCTATTAGTTGCTGCGGCAAACTACATAGCAGTACCTAAGAGACCGCCTATTAAAACAGGTAGTCTCTTTGTTATCAGTCTTTTATTTTTTTTCCGCGGAATGGGGGTACAACTGTACCTCTGCGTACCCCCCTAGATCCGCCACTGTATACTACTACACTATGTTATTAAGGTGTTGTTTGATTTACATAAAAAAAAACCATGGAAATTGAAAGTTCCTAGGAATTGCAAAATGAGAAGTTGTTTGGATGAATAAAATTTGGTGAAATGAGGGAAATAGAACTTCCTAGGAATTTCCAATTCTCACAAAATATAGGAATTTACTTACCTAGTCCCCCCTAGATAAGTTGAAATTCCTATGGGAATTTACTTCCCTTATTATTAACCAAACAACTTTTAAAAATTCCCATGAATTTGATTGAGGAATTTAATTCCCATATATTAGAAGTTCATGGGAATTTTCACTTCATATGTTAACCAAACGACCCCTGAAACCTGCAAACAATACATCTCAAACATGGGATTCAGGGTTCATGTCCAAGTGTCATATTTGATTATTTTATAATAAGAATATATGCCTTTTTGGTCCAAATTTAGTGTCAAATAACCAAACTTGATGACATTTAATGGCTGAATTTTAAGCAGTTATACATAGTTGTAATTCAGAATGTATTATGCATCTGTCTAGCTCTGTCAAAATTTATTCATATTGAAACTTTGGATCTTGAACACAATAACGTAATCATGAAATTGGAAATTGAAATAACAAGAAATTAAACAACTGGAAATGGTTGACATGTCTTTAACCCAAATGCCTAAACTACGGCTGAACTAAAACCGACCTGACCGAGTGATCAACCAATTTGTCTCATGACACTCAATTCTAAAGCCAAAACACTTAGATAGTTAGATACATCGTATGGTCGAATGCATTCGATGCTGAACCACTTACGAAAAATAAAATCGACAACTTGTAGATATTTTTGCTAGTGATTGTCAATTCAATCCATTTTTGGACACCCATAAGGAAATTACTCTCCTTTGTCCATAACCAGGGCAAGAAAAGTTCGTTACAACAAGTAAATTTCCAGCTAGAAAGTTATTGGGACCATCAATTAATAAACTAAAGAAAGATGATTGCCATAAAGTACCACTATACTCAACAACCAAAATTCCCAAAAAATGAAACAATACTATACTGTTTAAATTCAACAAATTATGAACTCCTTCAGTTGTAACAAATGTAAGTCAAGAATTAAACGAAACCTTCCTTCATGAAATTGGCATGTTGTTATTACACTGTTTAGTATTTTCCAAGTTTTTTCTTTTTTAGAGGATCCTCTTCTGTTACTAGACCATCTAATTACTAGATGGTGATGAGTAGATTAAGAATTAAAAAGAAAAGTCCATTCCTAAATTTCACTTTTAAAATTGAAAATTCTAATTACTAAAGTTAAGAATAATCAACATGCAGATTCACTTAGACAACAAATAAAATCCTATATTTTTTCTTGGTATTGTTATTCTAAACATAGGGAGTGTTTTCTTTTCTAGAGGGTTCTCTCTAATTACTACTTTACTAGACCATCTAATTACAAGATTTTGAGAGAGAATTTATAGAAAAGTCCATCTCCAATATCTCCCTTTTAAATCCGTGCATTCTATATAATGAAAAGAATCCTGACTCTTCTAACGAGTAGGGGTGTACACCGGTCCAAAATCGGACAGGACCTGGACCGGACCTGTTTGGACCGGGGACCTGAATTGGGTAATTATGAGGACCGGGGACCGGACCTGAATTAACAGGTCCGGTTCCGGGCCAGACCTGAAAAATCAGGTCCGGTCCGGCTTTGGACCTGAATGGACCTGTTTTGTGTCTTTTTCGTTTTTTTTTAATACAAAACCTGTTGGACCTGCATATGGACCTGCATATGGACCTGTTTTGTGATTTTTAGACCTGTTGCATAATTTAATAATTACATACAAACCAAAATTATCAATTACAAAACTACATAAAGTCTATAAAGTCCCGATTCTCAAACACCAAAAATACAAATGAGTCCACCGAAAATACAAATAAGTCCACGAAAACTCAGTTTCAATTTTTCAGAGTTTGGTTTTCTTCTTTTTTTTTTTTTTTTTTTTTAATTACGATTTTCCCGGGTTTCAGGTCCGGACCTGAAAACCCCGGGTTTGGACCGGGTCCGGACCGGGACCGGGAACCTGGATTTTTAAGAACCGGGACCGGACCTGAATCAACAGGTCCGGGTCAGGTCCGGTCCGGTTCAGGTCGGTTCAGGTCCGGTTTCAGGTCCGGGCCAATTTTTGTACACCCCTACTAACGAGCATATTAGATTCATAACTCATGTCTCGAATTTTTTACCCTTGATCACCACGAGTATACCAAATGTAAAAAAAAGACACTTAACTTATAGGGAAAACATCTAAAAATATTTTTATACACAAAAAAAAAAATAGAAACCAACATGACATAGATTTATTGATTCTACCTATCAAACCGGCCGTAAGAGTAAATTAACATACATACTTACTTAGACTACGAACAGTGGCATTGACTGTGTAACCGCGATCAAGCAAGAGTTTGACAATCCAAGAAGCAATGTAGCCTGAAGCACCTGTAACACATACTTTCTTCCCTTCCCCTGATTTAGAATTCATCATGATTAATTAATTAGCAATTATATCTTGAATTTAATTATTTTTCTCCTCACTTTATAAACCTTTTTTTTTCCCCTTAATGTAAAGTATGAAAACAAGAGTTTATGTATAAACTAAAGGAGAAGAAGAAGACGTTTATATAGGAAAAACCGAAGAAAGGTTGTAATGAAATACTATTCGTACTATGCATGCACCTAAAAGGTATCAAGCATTGAATAATTTTCTAACCAATAACGGCGTTTAAAATTTGATAACTACGTGGAAATTGATGGAATTCATGTAGGGAAATACTACTCGTACTATGAAAGTGAAGGACTTGAAAATTTGAATGTGACATGGGATTAATGAGAGAAAGAGGAACATCTTTTGAATAGGAAATATCATTTTTTCGCCATAAAATTTACCTCGTATTTCTTTCCTCATGTAGTATAATAATAACAAGAAAACATATTTTTTCAGTTTATTAATTGATACGTGATAGAGTATATAAACCGATCTTGGATTTCAATATTCAATTTAAACTTTTGATTGAGTTGGTCCTCTAACATGGTATCAAGAGCCAGCGTGATTCAAAGATCACGAGTTCAAAATTCAGTTGATTATGTCTTTCAAATTTGATACTCCATCCGTTTCGCATTAGTTGCAATACTAGGCTTGACTTATAGTTTAAGAAAATTATAAACTACGCTTATAGGTTTATAATACAAAGTATTGTTAGTAAGAGATATAAATAATAAAAAAAAAAATAACATGAGTGGGGCTGATACGAAAGAGAAATAATAAAATTATTGAGGTACATCTAAAAAGTTTTTTAACATTACTTCTTATATTACGACGAAGTTCTCTTCAGAGTAGCACATCTTTGGGTAAATTTATTATACTATTAAGATTTAAGACTCATAAGCACTTATATTATAGTGAATAATGCCCCATAACTCCCTTTAGCACTTACTCCGTATTTTTTTTTCTTTTTTGACAAGCACTTATTATGGTGATATAGACCATGAATGTGACACCTTTATTTTATTAAAGAAAAGTTGGGCAAAATTAGTGGATTTTCTCGTAGAGTCGTGTAATGCAGAAACTTTTGGTAGAAAGCCAAGAAAGGTGACATCTGATACAAGTAGGTTTGCGTGCAATTTCAAACTATTCAAACTCACAAGACTACAAGAGTAACAGAAGCTTTTAATGTGTTACGATTCTTGCGATAATTAATAAATACACACCCCCCCAAAAAAAAAAAAAAAAAAAGCGATATTTTCTTAAAAAATTGTTCAGAAACTAGAATGATTTTACAACTCTTCACTCTTCAGAGTTGAGTTCTTTTTCCCCTTTTTTTTTTTTTAGTTTTTGTAGAAACTCTATTAATGAACCAACATATTTGTTTCCAATCCATCAAATGATCAATCATAGAAGCAATATTCCAAAATTTCAATTGTCCATTCTAGTACTCATCTTATTGGCTCAAAGTATAAGCAAAATTATCATATAGAGTAATTATAGAAAGTATGCTTTTATGTTCTAAGGTCCAAAATTTAATCATTGAATTTAATTACCATTCTCAAACAATCAGGCCCATCCCACATTATTACAGTAGATAATATCATTATCATAGCTACCAAATTAACAATAAATTATAACAACAATAATAAAGGCATCCCTTTATTGTTGCAAAAACCATTCACCCTCGACTGTGGTTGTAATGTTGAACTTCTCCTTTAAGCACTCGACGGTCTCTTTGAGCGCGATTTTTAAGGGAATGAACTCAATGCCTAAGGTTTTAGCCTTTTCATTCGAAAGCTTGTAAGTCGCATCAAGTGGCTCATCGTCTGCACACCTGAAAACGAGACATTTAAGTTCTTATTGCACAAACCTTTGGAAAATAACCGTGCTTGTCACTTGGATTATAACGAGGAAGCTCTTTACTTTATCTTTCAATACAGGACTATTAATTCGATAACTCACTTACATTTGTACCTAGCAAGTGACAACATTAGTCACAAAATTTGAGGAAGACATGAACTTACTTGTTAGGGAGTTTTGAATTTGGGTATAGCTCGCGCAACATCTTGACTAAATCTGCAAAATGTGCAACAGTTTCGCTCAATATGTACCTCCCATTAGCAGTAGGGATCTCAAAAGCTCGAATATGTGCTTCAGCAACATCCTTGACATGAACCCACCCAAAAGTAGCATTTGAATAAGTTTCCGACCCTGAATCAACTATAATATTAGAAGCAATCTAACATTGAATCAAAGTTCTTACAACACCAACTCAACACATGACACTTAAATAGCAAGCTAAAGAAGTTATCATACCATTAATCAAGTTAAATACAAAGAAAAAGGTAGTAATATTCGTGGTTGGCTGCAACATTGGGCCGATTACAGCTGCAGGGTTTATCGATACCATGTCAATGCCATTCTCTTTGGCGAATTTCCATGCTGCATCCTCGGCTAAGGTTTTAGAGAGTAAATAACATTCCTGTAAACGACGATTAAAGAAGTACAACAGAATAAGTTCCTAGCAAATTTTGCTGTGTAACAGAATCATACATACCCCAATTTTGCCCTTGCAGCACTCAGGAGAAGAAAACCATGTTTCATCAACTACTGTTTCATTGGTAAGAGGTGTATCAGTGTGTGATACTGCCGCAGTAGAAGATGTGAAGATCACTCGTTTGACAGACGGGGATTTTGCACACGAGGCAAGTACATTAAGAGTTCCTTTCACAGCAGGATCAATCACTTCTGCCTGAAATATCAGAAATTACAGAGGCGAAACAGAATTAAGTCTGCTTATTAGTTATGACTTGTTAATTTAATCTGTAACTACTCTAGGGAGTGCAACATCTCTTGCTATAAGAACATTCTCAGCGCATAACAAATCAACAATTACATGTTCATTAATCAAATGAAACAATACTGACAACCACAAAAAAATTACAGAAACTACTTCTGCCTGAAATATCAGAAATTACAGAATCGAAACAGAAATAAGTCTGCTTATTACTAGTAATCTGCAAGTATTGTAGGTTGTGCAAGTGTGCAACATGTTTACTTGCAACAGAACATTCTCAACGCGTAAGAGTTCCATGTAACACTGATCAAATGGAACAATACTAACAAAGTAACAAGTACTCATCAAAATTAGAATTTTTCTTTTGTTAGCAATACAAAAACCAGCAATTAAGTGACTTATATCAGTCAAAATAGTAGAGCCATACTGAAATTAGGAAGTAATAAGAACATGTTTAAAGGCTATAGTTGAACTTGAACCTCAGGGTTTTCTGAATTAAATTTAAGGGGAGTTGCAGTATGGAAAACACCGTCACATCCATGAATTGCAGAATCAAAGGAACCTTCCTCGACGAGGTTTGCTTCAAACAGGTGAAGCCTATGTTCAGCACCATCCAATGCAAGCAAGTGGTCCGTTTTCGTGGGATCATCTGCACGTCCAAGCCCAACAACATCGTAACTAACAACACACACATATAGTTTGGGAACTCGTAAAGCTAGAGCCTAGAGCAACTAAATAAACTAGGCAATTACAGCCAATAATAACTAATTATCAGCTTTCATATTATCTAACCAAATGCTTGACTTATATATTATTGATGCAATTTCGAACACCAATGATAAGTGTCATCTTCTTAACACTCTATCATTGTCCTTTCAGTTCAAGGACAATATACACACAAATGATTTATAAAACACTAAATTCGTACGCAAATAAAAGTGACAAATATTATTGCAACGGTTTTCTGAAGTTGCAAATAACATTACATTAGTAATAGCAACAAACCCATTTTCAAAGAAATAATAAATGTTTATAAAACCTTAGCAATTTAGCAATACATCCTACTAATAATACAATAAATGTTGTCATCTTAATAGTGTGCGAGTAATTTTTTCTAGCTAATTATGTACTCGTATGTAATAACTAAATCCGAACAAAGGTAGTACGTACTAAAAATCAAAGAGAGGGAGAGGAGATAATACTTAGGCTGCGAACAGTGGCATTGACAACATAACCTCGTTGAAGCAAGAGCTTGACAATCCAGGATGCTATGTAACCTGAAGCACCAGTTACACACACTTTCTTTCCTTCTCCACTCATTACCTTTTCCATTCAGATTTTGTTTTTTTTTTTTTGTTTTGTTTGTCTTTCTTTGGAATTTTTGGATTTTATATTTTCAACTCCTTATCTTCATATCGCCTAATTGGCTAATTGTGATAGTGATAAGTATTGCTTTTAAAACGCTGCGTATACTTGGGGTTTTAATTTTTTTTGGCTGTTTAAGCGGAAAATAGTAACAAATAAAAATCTAAATTAAATTAAATAAAAAGAATCGGAAACACTATTTTTGATTACTAATAAAAGCGTTGATTTTGTTTTTTTACTTTTCATTATACACCGTACTTATGTACTTTGTATTACTCTGTATTATAATTAACTAGGTTAAAACCTGTGTGATGCGCGGTTTATACAAAATCTATTTTATAATTTGTACATTTATAACTTAATGACTATTATACATTAATATAAATAAGAATTATGCACCTTGTACAAAATATTTAAAATTTTAGATTTTCATCAAAATTATGATATAATACTTATTTAACGTTGTGTAATACATATTTCAACGTAGGGGGTCAATTAATAGTGTGCTATTTAAAATTGTTCAATTTCCTAGAATAAATTGATAAGTTGTACAGAGTAGTTGTAATGCAGAAGCTTCTAATATTATTCAAATTTAAAAAACGTTATATGTGGTAGCTCCACAAAATTTAAAAAAAAAAAAATAATAATAAAAAATAAGATGACATCATCCTTGTATTTAGGCGGGGAAAATTTTATTAAGAGGGTGACATGTAGACAGCGATGACGTCAACATACTCTGTTTTAATAATAGTTAATTGAATACATTTCACAATATTATCACACATATTACCTCTTTTATTTGGCATTACCCCCCAACTCTTTCTTTCACACCGTTATTTGGACCATTCAACCTTAACCAACCTAGCTAATAGGTTAGAGTAAAATATGGTATGTCTATCATCTAAATATATTATCAAATTAATATAACGGATTAATTAAGCAATATCATCATCATTGTATCAGTCCAAAATGTGAAATATTTATATGTACTTATAAGTAAAAGTTAGTTATACAATGATTGACATTATCGATAAGATCAGTTAAACAATAATTGACATTTACATAAAGTGTAGATTTTTTTAAAAAAATATATAAAAATTAATAATGACATCATACATTAAATTGGCGGAATTTTTTTTAATGAGGAAGCGACACATAAGATAGGGAGGGGGTTGATGATGTTAGCAACGTTTTGTTATAATATTAGTTAATAGATATTGCGTTTTTTATTTATTATTTATTATTATTTTTTTAATATCAATATAGTAATTAGTAACTAGAGACTAGAGTAATAAGCTACGGGAGTACAAACTTCGTATTTTTTTAAGTTAAAATATTTTGATTTTTTTACACTATTCACTTAATCCACTTTAACTAATGTTAGTAATTTATACATAAAAAAAAAAAAAAATTCCGTATTGTTTTGCTGATACTTGATGAAATCATTTCAATGAATAAATTATTAATATTCAATTACTATAATATTTAGTTTTTGATAATTGAAGATATTGTTGGTCAAAGCTTTAAATTGACATATGTAAAGTCATGCATAGAAAAAACGTTTCACTTACAAAAATACGGAGAAAGTATTAATTTGTGGAAGTAACACATATGACGATAATGGATAAACTATTTTTCGGCTTATTATTATTATTATTATTATTATTATTATTATTATTATCAAAAACCTATAAAGTCAAACGATTTACAAGAAATTAGTGGGGAGCCGAGATACAATCTGGGCCCCCACCCCTCTAGCCATAGCGAACCCAATCCTATTGAAGATGTGAGCAGCCGCACGAGCACCAATATCCTGAGTCCTAGCGAACGCCTGAACCCGCTTCTGCAATGCAATAGCATCCTTCTCCAATTCCCCCAATGAAGAAAAGGAGAAAGGAAGAAAACCATAGCCAATAGCTCTGCAACGCACCCCATACCTGTCCCGCTTCTGCTGAGCCGCAGCCGACACGACACGACCGGGAACGAAGTCAGACAACCCAGATTGTGTCAATGGAGAAGACCCCGTCAGGTCAACACAGACATCTAGGCCTCTATCCCAAGAGTAAAGCAACACATCTGCTGGCCGAAAAGCCCCGTCATTCCCTCCAAACAACCCAACATCGACCTTTTTTTTTTTACAGAAATCTCAGAGCGGAAACAAATATCAACAAGGGTATCACGAACAACGTTACTATTATTATTATTTTGATGGTAAAGCATCAACATCAGATGAAGCAAAGGCATGAATGAAGTTCCGGAGGATACTCCTCCAGCTCATCATTAAATTCCCCATAACTTTTGCTACCTTGATTTTGCGACTTATTATAATTGGATTTAAAGAAGAGGTTATCATTTTTTTTACTCTTACTCAAGGTTGTCAAATTTTGGTCTTTTCCCGAAAAAAGGACAAATGATAATTTTCAAATATAGTTTCAGTTTAACCAACTTGATCCATTTCCGGCCAATCTCCAATCTACTGAGGGCTGGTAGGCCCAAACTACGGGGCTTCAGTTGAGCTTGAGCTAGTAGCCCCAACAACCTGTATTGTTGGAATCCTAAGGGATAGATAAGACTACTCCCTCTGTTTCAATAAAAATGCCTAATTTGGTCGGAATATTTGTCAAGGCGAAATTACGATCAACAATATTTTTAATTATCAATAAATATACGAGTAAATTATAATAAATTAATATTTAAAACTATATATTGAGACGATTCCAACCACATTACTTTATTTATTTTATGTATAAATCATAAATAAAGGTCCACGTATATACGTGTATATGTATAGTGCAAAAGTCAAACTAAGACATTAATTTTGAAACGGATGGAGTGTAAGAGACCCTTAATATTTCCAAAATCTAATTCAAAGTTAAACTAAAAAATGTTTATATATAACCTAGGTCCTAAAATAAGCTAAAGATACATGTTTTTTTGAATGCTTGAATAATATACTTCCTTGAAAATAATGTTTAAAGCTCTAAAAATAATTAATAAGTGCATACAATCGACATGAATCTAATAACATCTTGAAGTAGCATAATTTATAAGTGGCATCATTAATTGAAGTTTCACGAACTATACCAATCTCAACTCCTTCAGATTTTCCAGTCTCCTTAAGGCTTACTTCGAAAGATATATACTCAATGCCCAAACTTTTGACTTTAAAGTTTGAAAGTTGAAAATTTGTTTTTGGTAGAGGGTCACCAACATCCACACACCTGAAAACAGTTACAAAATTTCAAATCATATGATCTAAAATGTTTAACATCTATCTAACCTTTAGACAAGAGTTGGTGTCTTAACAAGCTAAAACATCCCTTTCTTGTCTAAACATTAGAATACTAGACATACAAAATTACTTGCTTAGAGTGAATAAATTTTTGAAGAATTATATTGTAAGAATTAATAATAAATAAATAAATAAAAATCTCACTTATCAGGAAGCTTTATAGAGGGATAGAGTTCATGCAATATCTTCTTAACATCAGAATAATGTAACACCCTTTCACCTAAAATATATCGTCCCTTAGCTGAAGGAATCTCGAATGCACGTATATGAGCTTCCGCGACATCCTTAACATGTACCCATGGACACGCTAAGTCTGGATAATATCCAGATCCTAATAATTGTCAAAAAACCAATGACAATGAGATGACAAACTATGTCACATACTTTACCAAATCTAGCAGTCACTTGATGAATTTGTAAAAGTACTACCGATGATGAAATGTATGTACAAAGAAATTAAATCCTATAATTTTTTTTGTTAAATACCTAAGAAATTAAAATTGAAAGGAGGTGATTTTTTCTCTTTTGTCAACCAAACAATATAGGATATCGAATTTCACGCTATCTACAAGTATTTATATGTAACCGTCACATAATTGAAGATAAGAAAGAGACTAACATACCATTAATTAAGTTTAATATTGAAGCTACACTATCATTAATAGTTGGTTGCAACATAGGCCCTATGACCATGGAAGGATTGATAGACACCATGTCAATATCATTCTCTTTGGCATATTTCCAAGCTGCTTCTTCGGCTAATACTTTTGAGAGTGTGTAATACATCTGAACACAAAAACCATAAAGGTGGTGAACCGTGATTACGAGGGGTATAGAGTCATGAGACAATGAATGAATTAAATGGTTTTGATTACCAAATAGGCCGACCCTCCCTAGCCCAGGGTCCCATGGAAAGCATAAGAAGGATCGGACCTTGATGCCTAATTTTATTGGATTTAAAAATGTTCTCCAAAAAAGGTTATAATAAATGAAATAAGACACATTATAATGATTTTTGGGACATAATGTCAAAAAATTCGAACAGTGAAGAGAAATGCATCTGGGAGTAATAAATTGTTGTTCGAAACCACATACGCCCACTAGTTGGTAGCCTTGGGCCAACGACAAGGGGCATCTCCATGATTGGTTAAATTGATAGATGAATTGATAATATACTCAAGTCAAGCAGAGTTTAACAAATACATTGATGGATTGTAGTAAAAATGCACCTATATACAAATACACAGGAGATAGGCTTACCAGATCTGAACCCTTGCATAATTCAGGATCAGAAAACCAAGTTTCATCAACCACCACATCAGGAGTTAAGGTTCTACTAGTAATTAGGGATGTAGCTGTAGATGAAGTTAAAACCATCCGTCTTACGGTTGGAAACTTCTTACAAGATGCTAGAACACTAAGCGTTCCCTTGACAGCTGGGTCAAGTACATCGGCCTGTATAAAATTTGATCAAATTATGTTATACTTCCTCCGTCTGAATGTAATTGTTACATAACAAGTTTAACGTGACTATCAATTCCGGACATGTTGGAGGGAAACGAGATGTAATTAATATATGGAGAGGAGTAGAAAAAAAAAATAGGACCTGAGGATCATTGGGACTAAATATAACTGGGGAAGCAGTGTGAAAAAACACCTTCACATCCAACAATAGCGGAATCAAAGGAGCCTTCTTCCATTAGATTTGCTTTGAATAAGTGCAACCTTTCTTTTGCACCTTCCAATCCCAGCAAATGGTCTGTTTTTTTCGGATCATCTTAAAGGCAATAAACTCAATGACATGTTATTTAGGTGTAAAAAAAAATAAAAAATAAATAAATAAAGTCAACAACATGTTATTTATTTACAATACCATTGTTAAGTTGTTCAAAAGCCTAATCTTTTTATGCTCACACAAGCTATCAAGAAATTAAAATGTACAAACACAATCTTATCTCGTAGCCAAACATATTCGACATCTTGTTTAGCGAACAGATGATCATCACCTATCAAACTGATTTCTAGCTCATTATCGGATTATAACTTGTTACCTCGTGTACATGATATACTTTGTATAATTGTATATACTTAATAAGAATAAAGATTACTGTTACGTTGATGATTGATCAAACACTATGACTTAAACTAATTGATTACATAAACAATACAATGTACTTCATATAATAATTGTTAATTAGTTACGACAGAAATATAGAAGAAAAAAACATTAGAGGACATACTTGGGTTACGAACAGTAGCATTGACAGTATAACCACGTTGAAGCAATAATTTGACAAGCCATGAAGCTATGTAACCAGATGCTCCTGTTACACACACCTTTTCTTTTGCAATTTCATCCATCTTCTTCTTGTTTTTAGTGAATAGAAAGAAGATAGAAAAAAAAGAGATAGGCTAGCTTTTTATTTTGAACAATGTCAACCAATTGTTTCTAAAGGACCATTTAAGACACTTAAATTTTGACGTGTACGATATCACTTCCACTAGCTACATACAAGTAATTAAATCTGGTGGTAGATGGTTAAGTGTTAATTTAGAAGATCTAAGACTATATTTTATTGTATCGTGCATATTTTTCACGAGTACATATGTACTACTCCCTCCGTTTTTTTAAGAGGGTGTTTCGCAAATGGCTTTTGGTTGGCTTTTTCATCAGCTTTTGGATTTTGGCTTGTTTATCTAGGTCAAATAGCCAAAAAAGCGTTTGGAAAATGACTTTTTACTGGCTGAAAAGTTTTTAGTATTGGTTTTTGGCTTTTCACCTTTAAAATAACTTTTTGCACTATTTACATGGTCTATTTTAATCAATGTTGACACTTGTTAAATTTTAATAATTAGTTTCCTAATATCAACTTTTTATAATTTATACTCCACTTATATAGAGTTAAGTAAAAGGTTTCAATGTATGCTTAATCAAGCAGCTAATAAAGAATTTTTTTTTTTTTTTTTTTGACAAGAGCTAATAAAGATTCTTTTCTAAACATGATAGGAAAAATATAACTCTTATGCCTTTATTACTCTTCTTTGAATATACATCATGTTCCTTGTATAAGAAAATTGGCTCTCGCCGTAGTCATACATAAGCAAAATGACTCACAGAAATACAAAAGCTTAACTATTGGTTTTTAGTATCAATCAATCAAGTACTTAAATGCTGATAGACCCCTTCTAATTGACTTAATTAAATGCTGATAAACCCCTTCTCCTTCAGGCTTTCAACAGTCTCCTTAAGGCTTGTTTTAAGAGGTATATAATCGATGCCCAAACTTTGAGTTTTCTCCTTCGCGACCTGGTAAACAGGCTTCAATGGACTGCCTTTTTTGCACCTGAAATTATTCGGCAGCTCAAAACGTTACCAATTGGGAAACAGCTGATTCTCACTTATCCGAAGACATTGTAGGGTGCCTAATTGAAGAAATACTGAAGATATAGAAACTACTTACTTTGAAAAGAGTACCGCGTTTGGATATAGCTCTTTTAACTCCTTAACAATATCTGAATCATAATGTGCAACACTTTCGACTAAGCAGTACCTTCCTTTAGCTGAAGGGACTTCAAATGCCAATATATGTGCCATGGCAACATCTTTAACATGTACCCAACCAAAAGTCATGTTATTAAATGTTTCGGAACCTGCATTATTGCAATAAGCATACATGTTAATCGCTGTAGTTTAAATGGCTCAAATCGTCTTGCAAAGGACAACAGCAAATTTCTCATATGACGCGTACCATCAAATAAGCTCACTATTACAGCAGCACTTGTGTTGAGTGTTGGCTGCAGCAATGGTCCGATAACCACTGCAGGATTTATACTCACCATATCAATACCCTTTTCTTTCACAAACTTCCAAGCAGCTTCCTCGGCCAAAATCTTAGAGAGCACGTACCACATCTGTACCAACTCAAAAGACTTACAATTCTGAAGATTATATGATGTTTAGATAATAAAACAATATTAACCATCTTAACACTGAATGCAAGCAATCAGCTGGCATTGGTTCATAGTTTCTATAATCCATTTTACCGGATCACTTAAATTAGTGATGGAAGTAAAAACATAAGTTTGATTACAGGTCCAAAAAAATTGCACACCTTTGATTCCCTAACGAGATTTGGATCAGTAAACCAGGTTTCATCAACGACCACTTCTGGAGTTAGAGGTTTGCCATTGTGTGAAATCGCGGCCATTGAAGATGTTAGAACTACTCTTTTAATTGATGGGAATTTTGCACAGGATTCGAGGACATTAAGTGTTCCTTTCACAGCAGGATCAAGCAATTCAGCCTGGTATGAAGAAGTGAAGAAAACCAGGTCAAGAAGAAAAATATCACCTATTAACCAAATAACCACAAACATCACTGCTTAACGTAAAAACACATGCACAAAAATCAGATGCCAATGCTATTCTGTTTCTACGAATTACATGCTACTTGTGACCTGAGCTCCATCTACCTAGTAACACCGGCAAATCAAAACAATAGTAATAGTCCCTAATCGATGAACCCCTACGAATAACAATGAATAAAGCCGTAAAAATAAACATGTGTAACTACCACTCACCAAAAAACCAATGCAGGTCAGTTTTATATGATGCAACAGAACAGAAATTTTATTTCATGAACCCCTACGAACACACCCCTGCAAAAGACTGGTACATATCGTATATTCTAAATGACCAGGCTTACAAAGAACTAGTTGAAATAAAAACAGATGCACACTCATGTACTCATAGGTCATTTTGCATTACAGAACACAGTTATACACAAAAGTTTACACTATGCAATGTTAAATGAGAAGCATGGAAGCTAAGGAAGCAACGAAATGTGTAAAGGAAGAGTTGAACCTCTGGGTCTTTAATATCGAGAAAGAAGGGAGAAGCAATGTGAAAAACACCTTCACACCTTTCCAATACAGCATCAAAAGATCCCTCTTCCAACAGGTTCACCGTAAACAAGTGAAGTCGGTCCTTAGCTCCATCTAGTGAGCGTAAATGCTCAACTTTCTTAGGATCATCTGCAAGAGTTGTAAAGCAATTCTAATAATATGGCAAAAAAAACTTAATAATCAAGACATGTTTTTCTAAACTTAGCGATGATATGTTTATAAATTAAACTTAGTGTATACGGAGTAATTTATTCCTTACATACTGCTATTTAAACTAGTTTTAGACAAAGATATTCAAATGAGCAAAATATATGAATGTGTTCCAACATGTATTTATTTCCAAAATTTCCATTCTCACACGTATCAAACGCCCCAAAGGAATATATTTTTTATTTTTTGGAGAACATTTGATAAATGAGCAACAAACGTACCAAATTCAACAATCAATTAAAACAAAAAAATGTTCAAAAAAAAAGAAACAAACAAACAAACTGAGATCACGAACGGTGGCATTGACAGAGTAACCGCGGTGTAGAAGAAGCTTAACCAGCCATGAAGCTATGTAACCGGATGCTCCGGTCACACACACCGTCTTCCCTGCTCCGCTCATTTTCTTTCTCCTCAGTCTCTCTACTGTATCTCTTTCATTCACTTGCTGCTTCTTTGTTGAGTGACTTTATGAGATGATCAACCTTCCAATTATCGGTTGTATATTTAAACAAATAAAAACAGAATAAATGTCAAACTATAACATCATTAGTGACGTGTGTATTTATCACTACAACTTCATGGGAGGTCACTGATGACGTGTTAATAAGGAGTTTAATTTGATTGCCATATTGGGAGAAAGGTTATATAAATTCATGATTATTACAAAGGGAGTGTGCAATTTCAAGTCAATGCATGATATTGACAGAAATTACATGACAAGATTTAATAATAATGGATGAATTTACCATTTTCCATGACATTTTTTTTCCTACAATAAGATAATTTATTGTGTCCGAAAACATGACAAGGGATCCACAATTGACCATTCCACGTCACTAGTGGCAATTTTTTGAAAAATAAATGGGAAATCACAAGAGAGCCCCAATTTATCACCTTAAAAACCGTAAATAAATCAACAAACATGTCAAAAATTAGAATATGCACTTGGTTAGCAAATTATTTTAAAATTAAGATATGCACTAGATAAACAAAAATATCAAGATATTCGTGTAAAATATGCACTACTATGCCAGAGCTACAAAGACATTTAAATCACCTACTTAATATGCACTTCATATAATAAAATGTTAACTACAAAATACGAGTACTAATAGAAAATACAGAAAGAGAAGGATATAATTGGATCGCGAACAGTAGCATTTACTAGCCATGAAGCTACTCCGAATATATATAACCAGATGACATACATCCGTGATCCGTGTATGGTGAGGATGTTAAGTCAAATATGAAGTAATATAGAGTAACCCTTATTATAAATGTATAAAAAGTTTTAAGACATGGTTTGAGAATAATATCTGGGGGTACTTGCTAAAGTCATGCATAAGCAACATGACCCACCAACACATACAAAAATCAATCAAAAGCCTCTTATTAAAAACTAGCTATTGATTTCATGTGTAACTTAAATGCTGACAAACCCCTTCTCCTTCAGGCTTTCAACAGTCTCCTTGACGCTTGTTTTGAGAGGAATATAGTCAATGCCTAAACTTTGAGTTTTCTTCTTCGAGACTTGGTATAATGGCTTCAAAGGACTGTCATCTTCACACCTGAAGTAATTTGGAGATTCAGAAAGTTAGCAATATGGAAACAGACAAATTCGCACCTAACAGAAGGAATACTGAAGAAACAACTTACTTTTCAGGGAGTTTGGCATTCGGATAAAGCTCTTTCAAAATCTTCACAATATCTGCATAATGCGCAGTGCTTTCAACTAAGCAGTATCTTCCTTCAGCTGAAGAGACTTCAAGTGCCAGGATATGTGCCATGGCAACATCATTAACATGTACCCAACCAAGAGTCATGTTTTTATAAGTTTCAGAACCTGCAAGATTGGGAATAAAAAAATTATCAAAAAACAGCTGTAGTTTAAAATGGATCAGCTTTCAGCTCATCTTGATAGGAACAATAAAATTTCTCAAGGCACAAACCAAATAATTTCGCTATTGCAGCAGCACTTGTGTTGAGTGTTGGCTGCAACAGTGGTCCAATAACCATTGCCGGATTTATAGTCACCATATCAATGCCCTTCTCTTTCACAAACTTCCATGCTGCTTCCTCAGCCAAAGTTTTAGAGAGCACATACCACATCTGTATCAACTCAAGATTTAGAAGTTTGAATATGATATTTTTTTAGACAAGAAATAAGTGCTTGGAATGTATGCGTCAACAAACCGAGAGAATAAGCATCACAGGCCATAAACATCACAGTAAGAATTGCATGCAGCAAAAATATATGGGATTTGATTCAAATCCACGGCCCTCTTAAATTATACTCTTAAATTAAAAAGTTGGCATGCACAACCAGTGTTAACTATCCTAAGTTCCTATCATTGATTACAGCTTCAGTTCCTACACATTGAAGACACAGCAAGCAGCTGGCATTGGTTAACTTACTTCTATGATCACTTCCCAAGTCACATTTAAAGCAGTGAAGAAGCAAAAGTTTGACATTTATGAACCTTTGTTTCCCTACTGAGATTTGCATCAGTAAACCAGGTTTCATCAACCACCACTTCCGGAGTTCGAGGTCTGCTATTGTAAGCAACCGCTGCCATTGAAGATGTCAGCACCACCCTTTTTATTGATGGGACTTTTACACAGGCATTGAGAACATTAAGTGTTCCCTTCACAGCAGGATCAAGCAATTCAGCCTAATAAGAAGTGAAGAAAACAGGTCAGGAAGGAAAAAATCATCTATAAACCAAAGAAACATTAACATAACTGCTTAGCACGGTGCACTTTTCTGCTAACGGTAATTCATTTTAATAAACTAGTAAGGCCCATAAAGCAATACAATAGTAATAGAAAAATTATGCATCATATAAATGACAATGGGTAAAGCCATGAAAATAAACATATACCAAAATGGTTCACCACAAAAATGATGTGAGTACCAGGTTTATACTCGTACAAGGCAGCAAAACAACAATGTTAGTTGGTCTCATCTTATAAGTAATACTTGCAATTTCATGAAACCCTCTCTTCCCACAACAATGACCACTACAGAACTGCGTATTCTCAAATTAAGTTAGTTTCAAATGAGCAGGCTTACAAAGAACCAGTCTAACTGGTAACAGATATATAGTCCATAGGTCACTAGTACAGAACATAACGTGTTATCAAAGGCCCGCCACTACCAATATGCCATATGTAATGAACAGCATGCAAGAAAAGAACAAAGAAATGTGCAAAGGAAAAGATGAACCTCTGGATCTTTAACATCATGGTAGAAGGGAGAAGCAGTGTGAAAAACACCGTCACAACCCTCCACAGCAGCATCAAAAGATCCCTCCTCCAACAGGTTTGCAGTAAACAAGTGAAGTCGCTCCTTAGCTCCATCTAGAGAAAGCAAGTGCTCAACTTTCTTCGGATTATCTGCAACAAGAAGCAACTCCACCATAAAAAAGCTATCCAACTACAGTTACAAAATTGAAAAAAGAAAAAGAGACCATTACATCTTTTCAAAAAGTTAATGTGCTCATAGAGAACAATAGAAAATATGATCATGTTTCAGCATATCACACAACAATCTCAAAAAATTAGCAATATATGTGACGTAATCCTTCAAAAAAAAATATTGATGGCAATGCACTCCCCAGTCTGCTAGATATAGACAAATCATTGAATACTTCATTACAACTTCGTTCTTCCCTCTCCAGCACCTCCCCAGTCTATACTACTGCAGTGTAGAAGTTTTGGTCTAAATGAATGGCCAATGTGAATGTATTCACTCTCCCAAAGCACACTCTCTGCATAGACTTATTGCATTTAATACTTACATCCACGAATAGACAATGGTTTGCAGAAACTTCCATTTGCAGTTCCTGCACATCGACACCAGAAGCACTTACATACTACTTCCCAATACCCACAAACCCAAGTAATCATAAGTCAAGTCTACATTTGTTCTCTGTCAAATACATGTTGGGATACTTTAGTAGCACCCTAACTGAATTGGGTGTAATATGGAGCGGAAAAGCTAGTTAGTGATGGCGACCAAAAAGATAGAAACAAAGCTAGAGGAAAAGCAAATCCTAGGGTGTGTTGATTTTGCAAAAGGGGCAAACAATAATTAGTATAAAATAGGATAAGGAAGTGCATAATTCCCTTTTCTTTTCCCTTTCTCCTTTGCTCTTTTTGAAGACCACAATAAGTGACAAGGAATAAATGCAGTTCAATTACACACATAGATCATTATCGGGGTTATGTAAGACAACAAAATGATTGAATCAGATTATATACGAGCAAATCAAGTTCAAATTGATCAAGTCCTTCTTTTCTTAAGCTTGTTTAATGGCTGAGTCGGTCCAGAAATCAGCATCTCTATGATCCAAACCAATTGGTCACCAAAAAATCCTTTATATAGGACTATATACAAATCAACCTCGATTTAATCTTCGACAACAATCAGCATCATCTTCAATTCTCCAACATTTTCCTAAACAAATCTTCCTAAATCTTATACTACCTCCCACAACCCAAAATAATTTTATTAACGCAATCACAAATGAATGCAGAAAAAGTTGAAAAACCCTAAAATTATTCACAAAATTCAACAAAAATAACCCTTAAAAACACACAATTTAACCCCAAATTACTAACAATTACTCAGCAAATGAAAAACATCAAACGCAATCATCTCCAAAAACCCTCAACACAATTTCACCCACAACACAACTCAAAATTCAATTACATCATCGATTATAAATATAACAAAACAAACACACCGAAATTCAATAATCGAAAAACAAATTAAAAAAAGAGAGAGAGAGAGAGAGAGAGAAAGAAACAAACTGGGATCACGAACGGTGGCTCGAACAGAGTAACCGCGCTGAAGAAGAAGCTTAACTAGCCATGAAGCGATGTAACCAGATGCTCCGGTCACACATACCGTCTTCCCTGCTCCGCTCATTTTCTCTCTCCTCACTCTTTCTCTCTCTTACTTGCTGCTATTTTTTGTGGTGTGAACTGTGAACTGTGAACAGTGAAGTTGGTTGAGATGAAACTATTCACTTTCTGATCTTCAGTTATTTGTTTACTATAAATAAATACAACGGAATTAATTGCGATTACGAGTATTCAAAATTAATTTGTGTCGGTCAAAGTTGTAGTGTAATACATAAATGTTAAAGAACACGTCATTAGTGACGTGTGTGTTTCAATAATTATGGTGCGTTGGTGAGTTTTAAGTGGTTAATATTGATAACCACTCCAATTAGGTTTTTGGCTTATGTGATACACCGGAGAGAATCCGAATGTATTACGGTGTTCATTTGAATGTACCCCGTATAATAATTGTTAGATGCAACTAATTGGTTGTTGGTGTAGTGGTGATTGGAGCTACATTTAGCAGGGAGGACCGCGTATTCGATCCCCACAACAACAACAATTGGGAAGGGATTGAAACCTAACCATCCAGAACTAATCCTCAAATTCGGATTAGCCCAAAGGTGAACCGGGTGGAACACCAAAAAAAAAAAAAAAAATTGTTAGATACAATTACGGTGCAAAAGTACACCAATGTATTTCGGTGCTCATTGGAATGTACCTTACATTAATAATTGTTAGATGCAAAGGACATTAGTAGCAAAATTTATAAGGAAGTCAAAAATCATGGTTGGGGATTAGGGAATAATGATGAGTTTGGAAAAATTAAAAACCCAATATATATTGATTTATTTGTAGATAAGGTGAGATAACTTATCAAATAGGAATCTCTCACGAGTCAATTCGGTCCGGATTAGCGAACAAAGTTTTTGAAGAGGTGTGTGAAAAAGGTAGGGAATCTCCGCCCTTAAGTTGTCGCTCGGGTTAATGATATATGATTTTTAATTTCTTATCAATTGTTTGGTTAAATATGTATGTGCTCGTACTAAAATTCGGCCGGAAATAAAAAGTGGAGCAAATAATTAAATAGGGGGGATTACTACGTATGTGAGGATGTGACACTATCACACTAGTGGTTAGATTCTTATCAAGTCAAGTCTAGTTACTCCATTAATATCATCAAAACTCAGCAATAAGCACTTGATCTATGATAATTTCAGCTCAATATCCAAACTGATACTCCAAGTATGCCTTTGATACGCAGCAATATCCAAACTAGCACTCACCAATGCAGCATACAGATACAATCACTAGTAAATTACATTAGTTCAACATACACTCGAGGCCTTTCATACACTAGTTTATGATCTTCAAATGAATCTCAGAGGCTGATAAACCCCTTCTCTTTGAGGCTTTCAACAGTCTCCTTAAGACTTGTTTTGAATGGGATATAGTCGACACCCAAACTGCGAGCTTTCTCCTGCGCAACCTGGAATGCCGGCTCCAAAGGACCATCATCTGCACACCTGTAGAAATTTGGTCCCTCAGAAAAGTATCAGAAACAAGCAGATTACAGTAGGACACCTGACAATAGAGGATTCTTAAGAACGAAACAGCTTACTTTTCAGGGAGTACGGCGTCAGGGTAAAGCTCTCTTAGTATCCTCACTGTGTCTGAGAAATGGGAGACAGTTTCAGCTAAGTTATACCTGCCGTTAGCTGATGGTACCTCGAGTGCCAGGATATGAGCATTAGCAACATCTTTGACATGAACCCAACTGAAAGTTATGTTAGGATAAGTTTCTGATCCTGCATAAATTGCAGAATTAGTTACTATATCAGTCATTTGATGAGCAATAACAACTTAATTCTCCCAAGCATCAGACAGACTTATCAGTCCAATACCAGCGCAATTTCCTGAAAATTCTAATGTAGTCCTATGGCTTTTGACTACCACAATTTTTTAAAAATGAATGGCTGAGATGGTTTGTTTATTTATAATTTTTTTAATTTTTTTATATATTTTTTTTTCAAGAATTCCTAAAATACTACAAAAATAATTTCTGGAAGATAAAATATATTTAAAATTATTTTTTAATTAAAATTACTAATTAAATACAAAATAATCTCAACCGTCCATTTTAAAAAATTATGATAGTCAAAAGTCATAACACTACATTTGAATCATTATCAATTTCTTGATGAATCGGGGAGATTTAAACATGTAAGGTTACATTGGGAGGAGTCTTAAACATGATGCTTACCACTAAACAGTTGTGCAAATGCAGCAGAACTTGTGTTAAGCGTTGGCTGTAATAATGGTCCGATAACAACTGATGGATTAATCGTTACCATGTCAATACCCTTGTCTTTCGCAAACTTCCAAGCAGCATCTTCAGCCAATACTTTGGAGAGAGCATACCACTCCTGCAGAATAACCAGAGCACTCTGTCACATGTATACTCATGATCAAGCTTCAACCGGACTAGTTTAGGATCGATTTTTAAAAAATCAGTAATATTAAGTACAAAGTATATGATATGATCGATAATTCACCTTTGATTCCCTACAAAAATCAGGATCAGAAAACCAACTTTCGTCAACTACCACCTCAGGACTCAAAGGTCTGCCATTGTATACAACTGCTGCTATTGAAGATGTCAGAATTACTCTCTTTATTGATGGAACTTTTGCACAGGAATTAAGAACATTAAGTGTTCCCTTCACTGCAGGATCAAGCAACTCAGCCTGATATGATCCGAAAATAAGAAAGATAATTTAGAAAGGAAAGAAAGAAACAATATAATCTTCTCCTGTTAAAATCAAGGCTTAATCATACACTACAATTCAGCTAACATTCAAGCCATTAATTCATGTCGCTTTCTCCATATATAGTCAGTATACAACAATGAAATCGACGATTAATGGAGTGTTTTAGGATAGAGCTCTATGTAAAAGGCTGCATGCTTTGGCCACATTTAACAAACAAAATGCTTGAGAAGGTAATATGATATATAAGTTGTTGATACCTGCGGATCTTTAAAATCATAGGTTAAGGGGGATGCAGTGTGAAAAACACCTTCGCAACCTTCGACAGCAGCATCAAAAGAGCCCTCCTCCAACAGATTTGCAGGAAATAAGTAAAGCCGTTCCTTTGCTCCATCTAGAGAACGCAAATGCTCTACTTTCTTTGGATCATCTGCAGTAATACGCAATTTGTTACAAAAACAGCCAATGCTAACAGCCAGTCAGACCAACCAAATTAAACTGCCGGCAGCCAACAGCCAAACAAGGCCAATATGTTAGATTGTTTTTTATGAGAATTTGCACAATATGATAAAATTAAATGAAATTTAGGATGTAATGAGAGAAAGAAAAGGGAGGAGAACGGAACATACTAGGATCGCGAACTGTGGCTTTCACGGTGTAACCACGTTGAAGAAGGAGCTTCACTAGCCATGAAGCAATGTAACCGGACGCTCCGGTCACACAGACTACCTTACCTTCTCTACTCATTTTCTCTTCTTGCTGCAGTATTAGGGGTTCAATTTTTTTGTATAAGCAAGATATTCAAATGGCTAGTATAACAATGACGTAAATAAAGGTGACATATATGACTTTTCTTAGACAGGGTACGATTTTTGACTTATGAGAGTTGTAGTAAGTGTGAGTTGGTGCACAAATTATAAACAGGTTTGAAATTTAAAGAACAAAATACAAAATACTTCACTGATTAAGGAAGAATTTTTTACTAAGCTTAGCTTGAGCTCAAGATGGCAGTCATGGGCTCAAGAACGCCTAGTCCAGTCCATGGTGGAAATTCAAGGCCCAAAATACGCTAGAATCACAAGGCCCAACAAAGGCTTGAGATAGTCAAATAATCATTATTATCTTTTATGAAAAATCTACACGAGTTTGTTACAACACGAAAACTTTTTCTTAATTCGTTACAGGCACAACTCACTTGAGCACAAGACACGCTAACACAACATGTGAAACTACACTACCAAGCCCAAGCCCAGCTTTTAAGTCATCCCATTTCATAACTGTCATAAATGAGAAATTCTAAAAGGAGATAAATCATGCACAAAAAGGTACGCAATTATGCTATGTGATATCTCACAAATGGAAAGAAATCGTGTAAAGTTAATTTGATAGTGCATTATGATTTTACACTCAACTAAGGAAACTAATCATTATCATAAGTAGTAACATTTTAATCTTGATTCATTCATAACTTAAATATAACTGCACCCAAATAAAAAGTACAACTAAAAAAAAAAAAAAAGAGATTAATTAAAATCATGAAATTTTCAGGGGAGAAGTTGGTGATAATGTGGGTGGTGGTGTTGGTAACGTTAATGATTGGTGGTGTTAACGGAGAAGAGCGATTGATTGTCGGAGGAAACGCAGGATGGAATCAAGGCATTAACTACACCTATTGGGCCTCTCAACAAACCTTTTACATTGGAGATTGGCTATGTAATTCTTTCTCTCTATTTAAATTTATCTTGGTATTTACAAGTTTTGCTTTCTTCAATTTTATGTATTTGTTTCGAGTATTGATGCTTGTTAGGCAATTCAAAGTGCGGTCTAAAATTGCGATTTCGTGCGGTTTAGAATTTCGATCAAATCGAGGTTTATGGTTTAGATGCGGTTTTCTAATTTTTTTAAATCGATCCGCGCTGCAAACATTAAATAGCTATTATTATTTAATTCTATGAATATGTATAAAATGTAAAATCTTAAAATACATTAGCATTATTTTGTACCATTATAACTTATAAGAATATACTTGCAATCATAACTGATATGGAGCGCTATTAAAGATTAAAAAGCCTAATTTATTTATTATTTTGTAATTTTATTTATTTATTATTTTTTTGCTTTTTTTTTTTTTTTGTTGTGTGAATTGTGATGCGGCTTAGACTGAGAAAACTTTCTTTCGGTCTAGTTGACCAGCGTGAGTTTTCATTAAAATTTTAAATTAAACGGAAATTCAAGTTATTAGAGTCATTAATGACTTAAACTATTAGAGGTAGAGAAATAATTGTAGAAGAATAATCAAGTGTATATTGATTAGCTTAATGTTTTCATTATACAAAGTATGTATATATACAAGTTATAACAACTAACCTGGAGAATTATACGTTAAACTTAAATAAATAAGGAATAATAAGATAATAGAGAATAATCTCCTATAATTATGCTCAACTAACTTGACTTGGTAGTCTTATTTTCAACATCCCCCCGCAAGAAGGATGGTCGAACGACGAGACCAATCTTGGCATTAAGTAACTCAAATTGCGTACGAGATAGTGGCTTAGTAAGAGCATCAGCAAGTTGATCTTTGGTTGAGATGTAAGACACCCGTAGGATCCCTTTTTGAACACTTTCATGGACAAAATGATAATCAAGAGCAAGGTGCTTCGTTTTTGAGTGGAACTTGGGATTGGCAGCCACGTAAGTTGCCCCCATGTTATCACAAAAAATAGTAGGCAAATGCAATGAATTAAGATCAAGCTCAGTTAGCAAGTTGATTACCCAAAGAACCTCAGCAGTAGTGGACGCAAGGGCTCGGTATTCAGCTTCAGTTGAAGAACAAGCAAGTGTTCTTTGCTTGTTAGAACTCCAACGAATAGGATTTTTGCCAAGATAAACAATGTAGCCCGTAGTGGAGACATAATCATCTCGATTCCCTGCCCAATCAGCATCTGTAAATGCGTGCAAGGACTACGGGGATTTGTGATGCAAGAGTATGCCCTTGTGGAGAGAGCCCGCAAGATAACAAAGTAGTCGCTTCAAGGCATTGTAATGTTCATCAGTTGGCTTGTGCATATATTGTGAAAGACGATTAACACAAAAGGAAACGCCCGGCCGAGTAAGAGACAAGTATTGCAAACTGCCAAGAATAGTCCTATACTCGGTTGGATTAGCCAAAAGGCGACCTGAGTCTAAGCGTAGAGAATGAGCTGTTGACATTAGGGGTGAGCAAAGACCCAGGGTACCCGGTACCGGACCCGGAACCGGTTAGGATCCGCCGGGTCCGGACCCGGAACTGGTCCCACCGGTTCCGGGACCGGGTCCAAAATGTCGGACCCGGTTGTAACCGGTTCCGGGACCGGGTCCTAAAATTTCGGACCCGGTACCCACTGGGTACCCGGTTTAAACCAATTCCAGTTCCGGGTACCCGGTCCCGGATCCAGACAATCCGGGTACCCGGAACCGGTACTGATTTAGTTATAAAAAATTATTTTTTTTTAAAAAAACCCAACTGAATTATAAGCCCAATCCTACAAAACCCCTGCCTGGCCCAAAACTAAATACCCTAGGTATATAATGAAAAAATAAAAAAACCCTAATTCCTCTAATCCTCTCACGCTCTCAGCCTTTCTCCACTCTTTCGTCCTCCCTCCTGTCTGACTGTCTCCTCTGAGTCTCCGACCACCGTCCAGTACACCAGGACACCAGGCGACCACCGTCAACGGTCCACCTGCTTCTCTCTCTCCTGTCTTCTCCTACTAATTAAGGTATGAAATATGCAATTTGCGAATTCAATTTGCGATTTTAATCGTTTCTCTACTTACTTGCTCTCTCCTGTCTTCTCCTACTAAAGTACTAAATACTAATCGTTGCTACTGCATGTTCAATTGTGAATTGCGATTTTAATTTGCGATTTTAACTTGCGATTTTACTTGCTACATTTTAATTTGTGAAGAATATGGCAATTGGTGATGCTAAAATTGATGAAGTGGTCGAAATACTTGAGTGATTGCTCTGTGCTGCTACTGCTGTGTTGATCTGCTGCTACTGGCCTACTGTGTTGATGTTCTGCTGGCTGCTGCTACTGTTCTGCTGTTCTGTTGCTACTGTTCTGCTGTTCTGTTGCTACTGCTTTGCTGCCTGCTGGATTGATCTATTCTGCTGGCTGCTGCTATTGTTCTGCTGTTCTGCTGGCTGTAATGTTGTTGAATGTTGATCATGTTATGTTTAACTTAAGTAGTTCTGTTAAAACTTGTTTAATTTGAGTTTGTATGGATTGATTGGTTTGATTTGATACTTTGTTAGTTTGTTATTTAAACTGAAAACTTAAGTTTGTATGATTTGGATTGGTTTGTAGACTTTGTACTTTGTATGAATTGGACTAAATTTGTTTGCTGTTATATTTGTTAATTTGCACTGCTTGCTGTGTTAGTGAGAATAGTGACTTAGTGTGTTGATTAATGAGGCCCAATTTGCAGATTAATGAGAATAGTACTTTGTGTAATGTTTATGTCTTATTAAAGTTTAATTTGTTCCTATTTCAGAACTATGAGCAATACCGACAATTCGTCAGTCCCTATGGATGATGAAAGTGAGGTTGGAAACGAGAATGCAACAACCAAATCAACCAAGGTTGGTGACAAGAGGAAGTCTGAATACTGGAACCATTTTTGGGATTTTAGAGATCCAGTAACCAAAAAAATTGTTCAAGTCAAATGCAAATATTGTGAGAAAATGCTAACAGGTAATACTAATAATGGAACTTCTTCATTAAAGAAACACCTTGGTGCATGTTCAAAATACCCTCCAAATGTAGACAAAAAGCAAAAAACTCATTTCTGTTTACAAGTCTCCTGAATCTGATGCTACTATAGTCTCTAATTGGAAATTTGATGAAACTGCTTGTAGACTTGGTTTGGCAAGAATGGTTATTGTTGATGAACAACCATTTTCTATTGTTGAGCGTGAAGGTTTTAGGTATTTTTGTAGTGTTGCTGTACCTCAATTTCATATACCTTCACGTTTTACAGTTGCAAGAGATGTGAAGAATATATTTGTTTGTGAAAGTGGAAAATTAAAGAAATTAATTGGGTGTTTGAAATCGAGAGTGTCACTAACAACTGATTGTTGGACCTCCATTCAAAATTTTAATTATCTTTGTTTGACTGCTCATTTTATTGATGATAATTGGAAGTTGCATAAAAGAATTTTAAATTTTCAATTAATGGATAGTCATAAAGGTAAGGAAATTGGAAAAGTTGTGGAGGCATGTATTCTTAAATGGGAGATTGAGGATCGATTGTTTTCTTTAACTGTTGATAATGCTAGTTCAAATGATGTGGCGGTTGGATATTTGAAAACACATTTTCATGATAAACTTGTTTTGGAGGGTTCATTTTTTCATATGAGATGTGCTTGTCATGTTCTAAATTTGATTGTGAAAGATGGTTTATCTAGTGTGAAGTCTTCGATTGCTCGAATTCGTGCTGCTGTTAGATATGTGAGGAGTTCACCTTCTAGAGCTAAATTGTTTGCACACTCTTCTATGTTGGTTAAAGTTTCTTGTAAAGGTTCAGTTTGTCTTGATGTGGCAACTAGATGGAATTCTACCTTTCTCATGCTTGAAACCGCATTGAAATTTGAAAAAGCTTTTAATAGGTTTGCGGAAGATGATCCTGATTTTAGTAGGGAACTCAAGGATGGAGTACCTACACAAGAAGATTGGGTAAATGCTAAAGTGTTGTCTTTGTGTTTGAAATTATTTTATGAGTCTACAAAGAAAATGTCGGGTAGTTTATATGTTACTACAAACTTGTATTTTCACGAGGTTTTGGAGGTGTTAAGTTGTTTGATAGAATGGGAAAACTCTACAAATATGGATATTCGTATTATG